TGGCAATTTTTGTACATGGCTGAACCGGTCCATGTACAAGCATGCTGAAGTACTCGAGCTATCTAATCTCTTGCCATATTATCCCTGTTGGGGAAGGATAGATGTCATGAGCAAGCTCAATCTAACCCAGACATAGGAAAAGTCAATAGCTGGTTAGATTCGATAGAAGGGCTGACCCAACATCAGGTGAAAACACCCTATTGATGTTATGAGGAATGCTCTTGTCCCTACAAACATTCTCATCATCTAAAGACTCACCCCAGTGCATTCCTGGACCTCTTAAAGTCGCCCAACCGCACTACTGAGATGGCTTCTGTTGGTTTGGCAACAGCACCTAGTCAACTGAACCCAATAATTGCCCCGACAAATAGTCGCGTAGCATGAATCAATATATCCTATTGAGATGGCAACAGCACCGAGAAACTTCTCCGAAGCGTAAAAAGGCATACTAAATCAGTACTAATCTCCAATATATGGAGACTTTCCCAATCTTTCAGCAATTTTTGCATCAGTTCCATTCCGATGATCATAAAGATCTCTCTAACCTGACAACACGACCGTTAAGAAATACTGATCGGGTTCAGGAATCTAGCATATGTTGTTTTGTACACAGACCTGTGTCATTTGAAATGAGAATTAACCAACGCATTATGATCCTATATATAATCAGCCATATCAGCCCTTCTCTGATATGATATATATTCTCTTCCCGCGAATTTGGGTTTAAACCACAGCCACTACGTGGATCCCGAAGGAACCTCAACCACCTGACCGGACAGGACAAGTACTGCGGGCAACTGGCCACCCGTAGTACTAGATTATGTGGATCTCTGGTTAGATCCCATGTCAAATCATACCAAGGACTAGCCGAGGAGTGAAGTGACATCACTAGTTTATAGTCCCGGCAGACTAGAGGTACTGGTAGCATCTTTTTACCCCGGGATTGCAATACACCAAGATGAGGGTCTTACATCAAGGAAACATGCCCTGGGGGGAGTGTTCACGCTACAGTTCACATACTCTTCTCTGTACCAAAAGAAGAATCTTATTGAAAATAGTAGAAATCAAACCATAATTTCACATAGAACTTATATAGCTGTACCTCCCGAATAGGACTTTACTGAGGAAATGTAACTTCTACAGTTATTTTCGAAGCCACTTTAGTATCACCATGATTATTTAGTTAAAAAAATGAGCGGATTAGTAAAAGAGGGCGTGGTACCTCCCATGTGGACTAATGAATAAAATTCGTTTATTTGGTAAACTATTAGAGCTAGAATCTTTAAAATTTGAATGAAGAACTTTAAAATCCATGTGAGGATTTTTTGTGGAAATAGGCGGACTTTCATTAGAGGTCTCGGGACCTCCCATATGAATTAAATACAAAAGTCATATATCTGAGTAATTAGACATCCATGTAAATGTTTGGGTAATGATAACGCGGAGTAGCAATAGGGGCGTGGTACCTCCCATATGAATAAAATTCAAAAATTCGTTTATCTGGGAAACTATTAGAGCTGGAATCTTAAATTTTTTTATAATGCGCTTTAACATGCATGTGGACATTTAAGGGAAATTGGGTGGACTTCCATTAGGGCGGCTTAGAACCTCTCATATAAATAAAATTCCTTAAATTGAGAAACTATTAGAGCGAAAATCATTTGGGGAAACTGGACGGAATTTCAATAGGGATCTTTCTATATAAACTATTTGAGATATAATGTCAAAATGTTTCATAGAAAAAATTGCAGAACTTGCAATGGTAGGCGTGGCATCTTCCATATGAAATAAATTTAAAAAAACGTATATCTTGCAAACTGTTAGAGCTAGAATCTAAATTGAATTTTTATTTAAAGTGGATTTTTATTTATATTGGTTTTAGGGTGGCAAAGCTCACTGGGTATAGCTAGTTAATTTATACAATTTAATTTTGCAATCAAACATGTTTGTTGAAAGCAACTCAGAAATCATCGGACTTCTATTCTTAGGTTATTCTATTAGGAGAGTTTCAGAGAATTTTAAAACAAGTAAAAGTGGTCTATAAATTTCGAAAAAAACATAATCAACTGCAGTTGGAATATGACTTCCAGAGATTTTAGTTGATTTATCTTTCTTAAATATATGTTTTATTATTATTATACTTATAACTACATATTAAATGTAATACTAATCGTTAAAAAAATTAATTTATATTTTTATAACATCGACGAGGTTTGCCTTTATGGGTCACACCACAATAGATATAACGATGTCGTACTGTTAAAATCATGGGACTCAGTTTACGAGTTTTCTGGATTGTCTGCAATAATAAAATTATAATAGTTTTTTTAAATTAATTCTTTATAAGATTTAATTCGATTCGAATAAATTTCAATTGTTTTGATTTTAAACGTCACTTTTTTGGTCATTTTTTATTTTACCTGTGATCGTCTATTGATTTTGAAAAAATCCGTAGTAATTGTATATCCTTGAGTGGCGATCATCAGTAACAGGAAACATGTAAATTTGATTAAACTTTTAAATAAGTCCATTATGACTTTCTGAGTTTCAGTTCTTGTACGATTCAATTTGTTTTAGTTTTTTTGTTTGTTTTTATTAAAGCCGATGAAAATGAAATAACAATTACTGAACCATAAAGATTTAAAGACAGCCTTCAACTGATGTGATAAGCGTATAACTCTTTGCAACTGTAACTTTATGAAACGATGCAAAATGAAGAATAATTCTTTTCAATCTCAGTTTTTTTTTCTTAAATCACTTATAAATATGGTAGGTATAATGATTTAGTCATTCGATGTGTAACAGATTATTAAATGTTGGACCATTTTTTGGAATTTTGAATATATCGGGTATTTTGCTATTGATGACATATTATATGATTGGTATAACCGGAAAACATAGAACAAAATAGAAAATCTCTTGATGTGGGGTGAGTAAAGATCGTTGCAGCCGTTTATTATTTTTTTGCGATTTTCTTATTATAGTTTGTCGTTGTCTTAAGCCTATTTAGTTTTTAAATTTTTATATTTTTTTTATTCTGTTGTTATAAAAAACATGTTTAATTGTAAACAAAAAACATATCAGTAGTTTAATGTTTATTTAATTATGAATGAACATAAATTTGTTTTTTATTTTATAGTTGAGAAGGCAATTAATCTTAAATTTGCAGCAATAGTGTTTATAAGGGTTCAGTGAAAATTTGGATTCCATCTATCCATTTTAGTTAATTTGTGTTTGTGTTCGACTATTCCGAATCTTACATACCCACCATCACAGAATTTGTTATAAATTGAAAGCCTACATCGGCAGAGAGTAAAAAATAAGATCTCTTGCTGGATTTTACAGTTTTTTATACATGTGTAAGCATACATGCATGTGAAATTAAGAGTGCAAGAAAGCTCTTAACAAAGCTCTTTGCCGATCAGGGATTTAAAGCTAATTTTAAAAGACGACATTTCCCAGCAAAAACATGCCAATGACTTGTACTTACTTTAAATATTTACTTTTCAATGACTACTGTATGAATGGGTCTCGTAATGACTTACAAATGATATATTATATAAGTACTTATTTTTTTGCCTTGGCATATTGTCTTCGAACTTTGTTTTTACCACATTTTTTGGTGAAAACTAATAATAGACGTATCCTCGTATATTCTCAGAAACAAAACTACTTACTTAATTCCCTATTTGTAGGCGATCGTAGTAAGTATTTATATAACTCCATATTTGTAAGCGAGCGTGGTAAGTGCTTCCAATGTCATCCCCGTGTTAAAGTAATGCTATTGTGTAGACAAATTTTAACATTTTAGCCCCTTACTTTTCAATGTTAGTTTTTGCTGGGTTAATATGAACATTCGATTTTCGCCTTAGCAAATTTAAAGGGAGCTATGGGACGAGCTCTATCGAATTTGAGTATTACTTAGTAAAAATAATCTTAATTCCACATTTTTAAGACGATTTATTGACAAAACGAATTATTATCTGAATAATGGGGGTAAAGTCTGATTCTCATGAAATATGTTATTAAAATAACCTATTTTCTGAATGGGACTTTATATCGGGGCTAGGGACAAACGTGTCTTAAGAATTTGTTCACTCTTGTTGAGTTTATTTCCTTAGGAGTTATTTTTCATAAACAGGATCCGGATGCGAAATTATTTGTTTGAATATATTTCATTGGTAGTTACTTCGCATTTTCTCGGAACTTATATTAAAACTATATCCATTGACTAAACCGTGTCGTAGTGTCTATGGACGTTAAGACACTTTTATAAGTGCCACAATGTCCATGAGAAGAGTGGCATAAAGTTCATGGATTACAAATAGTCCAGTTATCATGAAAAGTCTTAATATAGCGAAACCATTATTCGAAATACACCGGAGTTTAAAAAATCTGCGCCCGGCCGAAGGTCGGCTATCCAGTCGGCTGAATCCAAAATACAACCATACACGAGCAATTCCATCTCTTTCTTAAATTCTATATATATTTTCCAGTACAATTATATTTTAAAATGTTACAAAGTCCATGGACATTATTACACTTTTGAAAGTGTTATAACCTCCGTGAACACTATGACTCATGGCTCTTTTCCTTTATATGGGGAATAGGGTTATGGATAGGGGTGAAGGGGGTGGACCGTCTCATATGATTTGAAAGAGAGATTAATGTTCTTATAAAACATGTTTATGACGAATTTGGCCACGATACTGCCATTGTTAAGCCAATTATGAGAGTTAAAGTTATTTTCTGAAAGTGAACCTATACGGGGGCTGAACCGGTCCTAACAAAATTCGAATTACATCAATATACTTGTAATTTTAGCCAGTTATAAGTCATAATAACTTAATTATCTGAAGTGGACCGTAAAGTCCCAATCATCATCTATCGTATAAGAAGGAAAACTTCAGAGAAAAACTTCTTATGTCCAATATAACTTATTTATAGAATCGTGTACAATAGTTTAAATCTTCATTAAATAAATAAACTCAAATATTTTCTTAACTAAATTAATTTATTAACATATAAAAATCATACACATTTTATTTAAATTATTTACTTAATATTACAAAGAAAAAACGCCCTCATAATAATTTATCACTAGAGCAGGGTATAGGTTTTCCGTTATGTTTAAAACCGCAATTCTTATTATTTCGGCGAGGTGCTTGGGCTATGAAATAAACTATTTCTGAAGAGGTATCCTTAAAGAAAATAACATAACGTTTTAAAAAATTGTACTTAATACATAAATTTGCTTTATACTTGTACTTGTCAGATTTACAAAGTTTTGATTAATTTGATATTTTCAGATCATTTACATGATCCTATAGAAACAGAAAAATCTGAACAATTACTCGAACAAAGCAATTATTTCATCATGTTAATATTTACATTAAAATCATGGGATGCATCGGTGTCAAAACTTTCCTCGTTGGCCAATGAAAATTTCAATAAAATATAAATTAAAATAAATATTTTTACATTAAATAAATACATGATCTTTATTTGGCAATCAACCAACAAGATCACAATTTATTTATAAGGGAAATTGAGATTTCAAAAATTCAAAGCAGGAAATATCAGCACTTTAATAGTTTACCGTTATGTTTGAAACCACAATTGGCTGCTTGTCGAGGTGGTGGTATAAATATTGACTTATTACGACGTCGATTCTGTTAAAAAATGTGTATATTAATTTAAAGTTTTTTAATTAATTACAAATTACTCACTTCTTCTGGATTTGTATTGGATTCAATATTTAAGGTTTCATTTAAATTATTTGTGATTGTTGTATTATTTTGAGATGTAGTATTATAATTAATTAAATTGAAGTTATTGTTGCTGCTGTTGTTGCTATTATTATAATTTTTATTATTAATACTATTGTTGTTATAATCTAGTTCATTGGCTTTTAACAATGCGCAAATTATTAATATTATTAAAATTTTTATAAACATTTGTTGATCTCTTTCGAAACGTATAAGTCCAACTGATTGCATTGATTTCTTCTTACACTTGTTTGTTGTATTTTCATTTTATTCAACTGATAAGCCTTTCGAACAGCTTAAATTATTGTGTCATTATGAAATGTGTTGGAATTTTTTATTATTTTTTCCAGATAGTCGGTGCCATAGGCTTTATTAAGTGGTATGATTACAGCGTTTCTTTGATTATAAATGAAGTTTGATTTTTTTTTGCACCAAAATAAAGTTAACATTAAAATGGAAATTTTGTTTTATAAACCTTTTATAAAATTAAAATGTTGTTTGTGAATAAGGGGTTAAATTAAAAATTTTTATAAAATTCTTAAGTTTAATTTTCTTTTTGTCTTAATTTTCTTATATTTAAACCACTTTGTGGATGAATTAAGTAGACTTGAGTTTTTATGTAGAAATTACATTACAGTTGATAATAATTTAACTATCAGTATTGTCTGTTTTTGTGTTGTATTTCCTTTTCAATTTTTAACAATGAATTTTAAAAATAAATAAACAAAAGCATTGTATTTGCATATTTTGTAAAATTTATTTGAAACAAAAGAACGATTTTTTTATTTTAGAAATTTGTTTCTATTAAAATATTACGCATTTTTTAATTGAACATAAATTTAGTTAGTGCAGTTTAAATAGTCACGAAGAAATGATATGAACCGATATTATGTTCGATGTATAATTGCCCCTGGTTAGATCCCCTAATAGCATCTGTTTAACGTTCATATAGACTTAAATACATTGAAAATGGTTAAAATCGGTCGATTATTTCGAATAGCCCCCGTACAATGGTCATAATTATGTTAAATGTTCTAGTATCTCTTCAATCTGCAATCTTAGTGCGAAACTTAGATCATTTGACCTTAGCCCCCTTACAAAGTCTCCCTCAGAAAATGACTTGAAAGTCAAATATCACATATAAACACTAAAATCACGACGAAATCTTGCACGTATAACATTAATCCCTCTACCAAAATTTATCAGGAAAGACCCTTGCCTCCGTAAAACCCGTGTTTTAGAAAACCTCTTTTTTTGTCAGCAGATTGTGGAAATATTTTAGTTCCAAGTGGGACTCGAACTCGAGCCTGAAGAATATTCAATTAATAATTTTAGAATTAAGATAAAAAGACAAACTAAATGATTTACTATTAAAAATACTTCACATTTTCAACCAGTGAGCATGGTGTAGTCGGTCGGCCTGTTGTTCGACTATTCGTTGCTACAAAATAATTTTCCGACGCGACATACATTCATATATTTCGAGCCCTTATAGATGGCGGTGTCATTTACCCACGTCCGTCAGTCTGTCTGTCTGTCTGTCCGTATATAAGTTTAAATCAGTTTTTAGAGATCCGATTTTACACTACTTATAATCCCCAAAATCGTCCCTAGGAGGGCATGTTACCTTGATGAAAGTCTCCATCTTGGTGTGATTACGATCCCGGGGAAAAGTTTGCCTGAACTATAAACTGCAGATAGTGTATCCATGAGGTCGAATCAGAGAACCACATAATCTGGTACCACAGGAACCGGTAGCCCGCAGGGCAGAGTTGCAGACTTTGTATTGTACCGTTTATTGGAGAGGTCCCTTCGGGGCGCACAATGGTTTAAACCCAAATTCGCGGGGAAAGAGAATGTCGGTTAAAAGACTGATGCACGGTGAAATTTATAATTCCGTATAAGGTGTAATTCAACAGATACCCCACAGTGGAATGACTGTGGGACTAAGCATTGGAAATGAGTTGGTGTTAAGTGTATATGATACAGGATGATTGTAGGGGTATACAGATCTTATACGCCCGTATACCTAGAGTAAATGTGTCGGATATTGTTCCATATGTGTGTGTGGAAGGGTGAAGGGTGTGCTGGATAAGTCCGAAGTCACCAGATACCCCACAGAGGAGTGACTGAGGGACTAAGCATTTAAAATGAGTTGGTGTTAGGTGTATATGATACAAGATGAATGTAGGGGTATACGGATCTAACCCGCCTGTATACCTAGAGAGAGCGTGTCGGATTTTGTTCTCTATGAATGAGTCGAATGAATGAGAGGGTTAACATTGAAAACTTTGAATTTTCCTTCCTTGTCCAGGGAAAACTTTGTTCATACTAGACTTACCACAGTGTGTTCTCTATGAGTAAGAACAAATTCATCGGCTTATTTGATGGATTCGTGTTTCGGTCTTCCGAATACATCTATAGGTTGGATTGTAAACGGAAGTGATGTTTTTGCATCTCGAAAGTTGAGCAACCGGATAGCAATGGTCGAAGATTAGATAGCTCGAGTACTTGAACAAAGTGCTTGTATATGGAGTGGCAGAACTATGTATGTGTATGTGGTAAGTCGCCAAAGAAGCTTAAAAAAATTTTGTCATAAATATTTTCTTAATTTCGGAATTTTGTATCATATTTCGGAATTTTGTATCATATTTCGGATTGATAAATAACAAAAGTCTCAAGAGCATGTCTGATAGAATGATCTGAGATTTGAAATCCCAAAATATTACCACATGGACAGATAGACGGTCGCTATCTATAAGGATTCAAAAGTTTTAAATTCCAAAATTTAAACTATGAAATTATTTTTATTATCAAATTTTCCAAACTATTTTCTTACTGCAGTCTAATGCAGACTTATTGATGTGTAACTATCTGTGTTTAACAATAGCTTTACATATATTTATATGTTCATTAAAACTAATATGTAAATATTATTACTTTAGTATTAAAAATAATAAATGAACTAGGATAAAAGTTTTATATTTATTTAAAAATATAAAATTGTTTAAGCATTTTATTAACTAAAACAAACAATTATGAAATTGATTTTGCTTTTACTAACAAAAAGAAAACATAAATTTAACAGCCAAAGGCTGGTTCATGTGTCCTTTTTTTGTATTTTTCAACATTATATAAGCGACAAAGCTGCTTAAAGGCTTGACAAAGAAACGAATAGCAAAAACTAAAACTTTTACCGAAAAATATAAAAATATATTTATAAATAAAACTAGCTTTCTGCATAGAAAAATAAATGTTTTATAATGAAAATGTGCCCGGTTTAATCGAACATGTATTTGGATTTTACTTAACAAGTTTTGTATTTTGAACAAATATAAAAAAGCAGGATTTATATGTTATACAAAGGTTTCTTTTAATTACAAAAAAAAAATGTTCTTTTCTTTTCAAGAATAATATCATAAAAATTAATTTTGCCACCGTAATACGTCATGTGGTTTCTATTTAATTTCTTTCTATTAATTTTCAAACTCCAAACGTATACGTATTATTGCTGGCTGGTGTTAGAAATTAATAAATATCACTCATACGTTTTTGACAAGTGTATAAAAATCCCACACAACAAAACTGGTCATTACCAAAGATTTGTTTGTACTAACTATTTCTGGCTATTTTCATTTCTCTTGTTGTTGCTTTCTCTTTATTCGATTACAAAACATTACGTTGAAGTGAAAAAAACGACAAAAATTTCCACAAATAAAGAAATTTCAATTAAAATTCATAACTTGTTTGCTGAAAATGATAAATGACTTTCTGTAGAAAAGAATATTTGTGACAATTAAATGCATACAACAGAATATTTATCTCTTTAAAATACCTTAAACTACTATTGTTAAATTTATCTATAGAAAATTACATAAAAGACTACATATGGATAAAAATTTACATTTAACAACTTTAATGTAAAAAAAATAAATACTTAAACACTTTAAAATACACATGTTTACATGACTGTAAGTTACAGCCCACTTTTAATGCAACAGTTTAGGTTTTTTTGTGGCAGGAATTGAAAAAATAGAAAAATTAAAGTGTTTAATATTAATTTTTAGAGATGTGTTTAATATGGCAACAACTCTACAAAATTGGACGAATGTCGATCTTGTAGAGAAAAAAGTGAAACTGGGGAAATTTGTTTGTCATGGCCAGTCCTTTTGCATAATAGCCGAACTTATTTATTTAAGTATTATCTTAAAAACCCACATAGTTAATTTCCATCTACCTGTGTATGTAGGAGATCCTATAAATTGTTTTAAATAAAGCCAACACATATAAATGAAAGAGAAAATATGTTTCTTAACTCATTTCAAACTACAAACATTTATTAAAAAACAAAACGTTTTGTTCTTGTTTCTACACAATCAATTTTCTTTTTATTATTTGCAGCAATTTTTGCATGTTTAAATCATAAAGTTGGTTAGCCAGTCCCAGTAATTTGTATTAGAAACTTCTTAAACACATTTTTATGCCTCAATTGCATGTCGTTTATCACAAAACCCCACAAGAATGATTTAAATCTATGTAATTTTACCACACACTAACACAGTAACCGGCCAAAGTTTTGCTTTTAGTTTTAATGCTGATGTTTGTCGACAAACTAATTGTAGTTAAAGGAAAATTACACTGCGCTACAGATGTTATTAAGATTTGGGTAACCCAAAAATCTTACTTTCAAATATTTTTAAAGAAAGTTATAGAATGCAGACTAACTAACTAACTAACTAACTAACTAACTAACTAACTAACTAACTAACTAACTAACTAACTACTACTAACTAACTAACTAACTACTAACTACTAACTAACTAACTAACTAACTAACTAACTAACTAACTAACTAACTAACTAACTAACTAACTAACTAACTAACTAACTAACTACTAACTAACTAACTAACTAACTAACTAACTAACTAACTAACTAACTAACTAACTAACTAACTAACTAACTAACTAACTAACTAACTAACTAACTAACTAACTAACTAACTAACTAACTAACTAACTACTAACTAACTAACTAACTAACTAACTAACTAACTAACTAACTAACTAACTAACTAACTAACTAACTAACTAACTAACTAACTAACTAACTAACTAACTAACTAACTAACTAACTAACTACTAACTAACTAACTAACTAACTAACTAACTAACTACTAACTAACTAACTAACTAACTACTAACTACTAACTAACTAACTAACTAACTAACTAACTAACTACTACTAACTAACTA